AATGAAACGATTGTTTGCATGTAATGTACATTCTTATTACAAAAATCCTTATCTTGAACATTGAATAATTGATAAAAATTGATATTTTCCAGTGTTGGCCCATCAAAGAGCCAAATCAGAAGACTTTCAACCCAGGAATGTGAAAAATCGAGCCAAGATTTTGGAATGTTTATTCAGCGATTCACAATTAGATATCAAAGGTGGCATATCATTAGGCAATTTAGGATGTAAGCCGTATGGTGAAATTGCATCGGATGTAAATTATATATTGCTATCAGAAATGAAACCACGACCAAAAACGGAAGCATCAGCACCTGGCAAGTTATCTTTCATTTCTCATTTCATATTTATTCTAAAAATTTGCTAAAGGAAAATTGAAGGACAAAAAATTACTTCTTTTAAGTGATTTTTTTAAAAGTCTTCTGTTAGTAATTGAAATACCACATTTTGATTTGTAATTTAATTATGTTGACGCATGGAGATTTTAACTTTTCTTGTAATTAATAGGTTTGAAACTGTGTTTTTCATAAATAACAACTTTGTTAAAAATTTAAATTTCAAAACGTTTATCTTATTTATTAACAGAATTTTCTTTTTTTCTTATGAAAATTGGTGTCTATTCTAGTGACAAATATTTTTTGTTTAAGTTTCACCATATATGACAATGGATCTTACTCCTTTACGAGCAGTTGTTGATTATGAAGAAGTTGTACGTCCGTTACGAATTCGGCTATTGTCATTACCAAAAGAGCCATTTATTCTTGGAAATCAACCTTTTACAGAAATTCAGTGGTAATCATTTCTTTGTTATTATCCATTTCTTTTTTTTTGGGAAAGTTTATTCGAAAATAATAAAAAATATTTAACAGATTTTTTCAAATCGAAGAATACAATGTTGATTTTTGATTATAGTTACAAATTAGCATTGATTTCGAATGATTCGAATGCTTAGATCTTTCCAAAGTATCATTTGTTTACAGGTATGAATTTGCTACACGAACCTGGCGAGCAACATATGGAAGTGTGGAGATTGCTAAATATGCATCAGCGATAACAAAAAATTTTGATGAATGATATGTCACTGGGAATACCAATAGTATTATTAAATATAAAATATTTGAAATAAGGTTTTTAGAGCTTTCAATTACTAGATATTTGTTGGTGTAAAAATTTCTTTTAAGATAATGCCTACAATATTAAACTAAATGTCTTTCTGATTTTTTTTGTTTTTTTTAATCATAGTTGTAGTTCAGATTCTGATTCGTAAGTGGAGAATTAAGTCTATGTTTGTCCAAAAAAAGAACTTTTCGGATTTAAGTAAGTTTTTCACTTTTGAAGTTTTTGATTCTTTTCAACTGAACTTGAATTTTTTCAAAGGGACAAAGAAATGTGCATGATTTTCTCTTTGTTCGAGTTGTTCAAAGCAATTATTCCGTAATTTTGAATAAGATACAATACGATTAGGTTGTAGGTCCTTGTTAAATTCATTATTATTGGTTCTTAATTTAAGTCATCGATCTTTATTATCCAAAAACTTTTTGATTATCTGGAATCTAATTTAACACATATATTTTATGTTTTGTTATAATTCATCTTCAGAAATTACATATCCGGTAAAAAACATTAATAAATATCTTAACTGATCCTATATTCTTCCTCTTATAGTCTGATTTGTTCTTTAATGATTTTTTTGTGTTTCCAATTTTCCTAATACTTAAATACTACATTTTTAGCTAGGTAAAAATTCTAATTCTACTCCATTAATATTTATTTGAATGTTTGAATTAGAACAGAAAACTAGTATTTAAAATTCTAAACGAAGCTCGAATATTTTCTCTTCAAGTGCTTAACTCTTCATTCACTCTCAATCAATTATATAAGATTGAAATTGTTAATCTCTTATATCTTTTTTTATATTTATATCTAAATTTATTTTTATGTCTCTTTTATATTTGCTCTTGATCTTAAGTTTACCCCCTTTCTCATCACACATTCAAAATTATGCGGGAAATATTAGACAGTATAACTTTCCAATTGTTTCTTGAGAATTTCTATCATTTTAAAGCAAAACTCTTTAAGGTCTTTTTTTTTTAAGACCATATCGGTCGTTATACTATGTACACTTTGAGCAAATGTCGGAATGTTTTTATGTTATATATTCGCATTATTACTAAAGAAATAGTTTGCACATTTTCGTTGGTTGTTTTAAATTTTTAGAATTAATAAAAATTAATTTCTGATCGATAGATATGTCAGGCACCGGTTATCAGCAAATGTAGTACAACATATTTATGTTTTACAATGATAATTCCATTTTGTTCATAAATTTTTTTTCATAGTAAACAGTGAATTTTCATGGATAATTTAGAGAAGTGATAGTTTACTTGATAGATTTCTTGTGGTAAGAAAAACAAGAAAAGAATATCAAGATTCTTTGTTAATTTGAGAATATATCGTTTTTTGCTGTGGGTAAAATTTTATCTCAGTTCATTCATTCATTCATTCATTCATTCATTCACTATATATTGTATATTGTATGTAAAATGTAAAACATTAAATTTTATCAGTTCAAATACATTGAGAAATTTTTAGTAAAACAATAATGAGGAGAAATAATTCATTTTAGGTTGAAGTTTTTCATTGCTTAGTTAAAGTTTAAATTTTTTTTTTTTTGACAAATCAAAGGTTAAACATTATAGCATTTTCATTGCTAATTTATGTATAATTTATTATCAAAAAGAAAAAAGAAAATATATAATAACAAAACATGCCATTTTATAAGTTCTCGTACTTACAAAAATTTGTTAAATGATTCAAATGAAATGTCAAGTTTTCGTTTAAAAGTTCAAAGCCAAATTTTTTGTGGAATGCTTTTTCATTTGTCTAAGCAATAAAAGGATACATTTTTCTGTACTAGAATTCAAATATTCAGGATATTCTGTCACATATGCTTTTTTTCTTCTTTTTCTTTTTCTTTTTTTTTTTTTTTTTTTTTGTTTCTGTTTTTTTAAAAGCTTTGGCACCAATAATTTTTGCCATTATATGAATAATCTATCATTATGTCGTCTATATTTTGCATATTTTAATAATATAGCACTAACATTGTGAATATATAACCAATTTTATAATTTCAAATTTTGATATATTCCAGCATAATGCTTCTTAACATTTTAAGAAATTTTGTTATTTGTTTTTTTTGACTTTTTCCAACAATGAACTGCTAATATTGCTAAAAATTTTGACATTAAAGACATCTCAAATACGATTATATAATCGTATGTTAGTTAAATTTAATAAATTGATAACTTGTCTTGACCTGGTTTGTTGTTTATTTTCTTTTTTAGTCAGTTGACATAAATTGATAAGAATAGAGTAATGATAACAGGAAATCAATGAATTTATTTAGCATAAAAATAGGTAAATGAAATTGTTTAAATTGATAAGAATAGAGTAATGATAACAGGAAATCAATGAATTTATTTAGCATAAAAATAGGTAAATGAAATTGTTTAAATTGATAAGAATAGAGTAATGATAACAGGAAATCAATGAATTTATTTAGCATAAAAATAGGTAAATGAAATTGTTTAATTAAATCATTGATATTTTTTTTTTTTTAAATAAAAATTTAATGATTTGTAACCGTAACTAAACAAGTGAACTGTTATTTTTTTTTTAATTTTTGCTTATTAAATACTATAGATGAGATATGCCTGTCTTCTTTTTACTATTTACAAAATAAGTTTAAACAGCTGCGAAAAAAAAAAAAAAAAAGTGAACGAATATTATTAATAATTTGATTAAAGCAATGGAGGAAAATTTATATTACACTTATTTGATCAATAATTGTTTAACTCTGAAATAAATTGACAAACTTGTTTTTGTAATAAAAATTTTTTAATGCAAAAATGAAAAAAAAATAAATAAATAAAAAAATAGAATTTGATTAATATATGATTCAAATCTTTTATTACTTTCTCATGCCTATTTTTTTCTTTTTTTTGACGATGAACTTCAATTTTCATCCTTTTTTTTTTTCTCTTTATTTATTTATTTTTTTTTGATTGACATTTATAAAGAAATTGATATAATTTGATTCTTTTTTATCTTTTACTTTTTTTTGCTCAATTTAAATTTCAAAATTTTAAAGTGTGAAAAAATTTTTAATTTATTCAAATATTAGCAGCAATAATTTTTTATCCAATATCTCTCTCAACATATTTCAATTATTCTTTTTATTAATCGAAATAATTTATTCGTCATATTAATCTTTATGAATATTATTGTAAATATATCTATAATTTATGTTAATTTTCATATTTTATTCTATTTTCTAATTGATTTCTTCATTTCTTCTTTTAATCTATCAATTTTTCAAAATGCCTGTTTCTACCAATCATTTTACTTTCACGTGCGGTTGTCTCGTAAAAAAAAAAAAAACTTTTGATATTCATTATCATATGACTAAACAAACATTCCTGTTCAAATATTTCTCGACAAATAATTCCTTTTCAATGCTTTCCGGAAATCGTCTATGCTATTATCATACCGGTTTTGTTATAATTCCCACAAAAAGGTTGATGAAGTATGTTTGTATCATAGAATGCGGTTGTTTCACTTCGAAATTATTTGTTTTTTTTTTTTTTTTTATACATTCATTTATTTTAGAATTGTTTTACAACTTTAAAAAAAAAAAATAATTTTATCCTTAACAGTTACTTTTCCTTCTTCATTTATACTCTTTAAAAAAAAAAATACTGATAACATATTCTAAGTTGATATTCCGAGATAAAATATTGATTAATGAGTTTTTTCTTTATGTATTTTTATTTATTTATTTATTTGCTTGTTTAAATCACACTAAATTATTTCGTTATACTTATCAATGATTATTTATAATGATAAATTTGCCTAACAAATTAAACAGATATAATTGATAACATTTTAATGGCTGATTTAGATACGATTCTCGAAAGCTTAATGTCATTAAAACAAGCAATATGAATAAATTTTCTACATTAAGTAATTTTACATTACAAGTTGCTGTGATCTTTATTGCTTGGTATTTTGTTAGTTCAGCATCTAGTATTGTCAATAAAATTACATTACAGGTTATTCTTGTTTTTCTTTTTAAAATAAATAAATAAATAAGTAAATAAAAGAAAAATTACGACAATTTTAAATTAGTCTATTAAAATCAAATTTATTTAAATTTAACAATCATAATTTTTTCTTTAATTTTAATTTTAAATCATTTTGCTCCAGAATTTTTATAAAAAATATTCACTGATATTTAAATATTAAAAATTTTTTAAATGTTCATTTTAATTAATACTAAAAATAACATAATTTTATTATTATTATTATTATTATTAATTTGTAATTATTCATTTCCAGAATTATCCATATCCTATGACAGTTGCTTTGGTGTCACTTTGTTACGTTGAACTTTGTTCCGTTCCAGTACTTCGACTATGGCATATCAAACAACCTTCTATATCCAATTATTATCTTATATATTATATCATTCCAATATCATTTGGTAAAGTAATTGCTGTTGTTAGTGCATATATAAGCATTTGGAAAGTTTCAGTTTCATACGTACAAACAGGTAAATAATTATTTTATTTATTAATTTTTTTTTTTTTAAATAATTAAATAGCATATTTTGAGATAATATTCATAACTTTGCTTTGTAAACAAAGATTTATAAATGAAATAATCTATCCATGTTTACTTTAAATACTATTCATTGATCATTAAAATAACTAATAAATTCTGTAAATAAGTAAATTTTACTTGTATAAAATATAAAGTAAAGATTACATTGTATGATTTTATTGAGATGTACTTATTAATACATTACCTTTTGTCCATAAGATTGATTCCATTTGTATTCTCAGAAATAGTGATAGTATTATGGATAGCTTATCTTTGTATCTCTTAATTAGAGGTTAACACTGATATGTGTGTCCTAGGCTAAAACATTCTGTCCAAGGTATATTTATTGTGATAGACAATGATGATTTCAGCGAAGAGTACAGTTTTTAGAGAACGATAATTTTCCATATTGAAAAGTTAACCTGTAATATGGCTAATTCATGGCAGTATTAGTTATCTGGTCAGTGTAGTGGGTAGTGGATAATTAGAATGAATCAGTCAGGTGATATGATGGATAACTCATGAGTCATGATTCAGATCTATACAAAACAATGATTGAACTGTATGATAGCTCTAATCTTAAGTGTTTATTCTTCCATATTTTTTTTAATGAAATTTCTCGAATGTTTTATATATCTTTATTAGTCTATTGTTAATTACTCTTTAACCTTAGTGCTTTTGAGAAATTGATTCTTACAAAATAAGGTAAACTGTAATGTTAATATAAGGTAAACTGTATTTGAGTTTATGATGATATGAGAGGAATGATAAATTACCTATGATGTGGGTTGACATAAACAATTTAGCAATTTATACTTTTATTTCGTTGAATTCTTTCTGAAACTTTCTACATCGTTTATCAGTTATCTTATAATTGTTTTCTATTTTAATATAACTTTAAATTCTATTCACTTCTTTAAATTTCAAAAAAGCTCTGCAGCTTCTACAAAACAAGAAATTATGCGCTTCTGTATGAGGTGACAAAGGTGACAAAGAGTAGTTTTCTCGTACAATATGATGTAGAATTTTAATATTTGTCTTCAATTACCTGGAGCTGAATATAAGATCGAATAGAAATGTCATTTTCTTCATTTGAAATCTATCGTAACTCTTCGAGATATCATACTAAAGAATAAAATGAATAGGTTGGTACGAGAATTCAACCTTGTTTTCACATCTTTGATTATTAAATAGGTTTCCGAGAGTAAGTTGCTGAATATACAAGACTTTTATTTCCGAGTTAATCTCGAGAAGCCAAAGTGCTGAACCGTTACGGTTTGGCTTACCTGTTTCGTTTCTCACCTATCACTATAGGATTTTTTAAAAGCAGATATATTTTTCCAGGTACTTAGGCAAAACTGGTCTTATCCTTGAACTTAAGATTTATCTACCATACCTAGCAGGTTTAAACGATGATAGCAAAATTCTTAGTTTATAGACATACAATTTTGCAAGGCTAACGGACTCCATCTATCCGGATCCGGAATCGAAGTTGTCCTCCTAGGATGATTGCTCTACCTTGAGGCTAATGAACCTATCCTATCATTAGACATACTTTATCTGACTTTTCAGTTGAAATTCTTCTAGTCGGTGTCATCATTAGAGTACAACTTACAACTTCAACAAAGAGGTGTCCACAGAGAATGACTCTGAAATAAATTGCTTAATCAAATTAAAAAAAAAAAAAAAAACAATTCGACTAATTTTTAAAATTCAACACTAATTTAAATTACTATCTTTTTCACTTTCATAATTGTTGTATTTAATTTCAGGTGAAATTCTTACTTTATATATCATATACATACAATTTTTTCTTTTTCGACTACTACTTTTTACCGAATTATGCATTTTGTATTTATGTTTTTATAGTAAAAGCAACAATGCCATTATTTGCTGTCTTTTCTGCTCGAATTGTTTTGAAAGAGCGACAAAGCAAGCATGTTTATCTATCATTAATACCGATCATAATTGGTGTTGCTATTGCAACATTTACCGAATTATCATTTGATTTAGGTGGTTTACTAAGTGCTTTATTATCTACCGGTATTTATTCGGTGTTAAATGTTTTTGTCAAAAAGGTTAAATTTTTTTTTTTTTTTTTTTGTCTTAAATTCATAAATTTAGCAATTATTTTTTTTTGCAAACTGTAGATGTCACTAGATGTCACAGTATAATATAATTTATGGATTGTTAAGATTTTTTTTTTTTATAAGTAAATAAAACAGTAATAGAAATTACACAGCCAGTAAGTGTTCATCAGCAGTGTATATTTTGTTGATGAAGGTTGGTTGGTTTGATTTGAGCAATCTGGTAGATTTTTAATTAGTAAATAAATTAAGCTAAATTATTGATTAAAAAAATTAATTTCAATGATTTGTAACAAAGAGCGAAAAGGTAATTTGAAATAAATAAGCGATTATTTTGATATAATAAATATGGAAATTCTATCATAATTTTATGTTAGGATAATTTTTATTTATTTATTTATTATTTATTTCAGGTATTGGAAGGTGCTGATATTCATCCATTATATTTGTTAGCATTAAATTCTCGTATTGCTGCAATCTTACTGTTTCCGGTTTGGTGTCTTCGTGATGGCTTATTATTATGGCATGGCGTTGAGTTAACTGTATGTTATTTCTTTTTTATTTTCATTTATCCAACCCATTTATTTTTTTTTTTTTTTTTGATTTTATTTATCTTTCATATAATTTTAATTAATAAGTTTAATTAATAAGTAATTAACAAATTTTATTTGTCTTTCATGTAATTTTAATTATATAATTAATTTAATTAATAATAGTTTTAATCATATTAAATTTTCTCATAATATTTTATGGAATATATTTTTCTTTCATTTTAGATATTTTAAAATTTATGCATAAGCTATTAGCTGTTTTTTTTTTTTTTTTAAATTAAACAAAAATTTTTTTTTTTTAAATAGAAGAATCAACCATCACCACATGAAGCGAATTTCGTCGTTTTTTTATTGCTTTCTGGTATACTTTCATTCCTGCAGAATTTGTGTGCTTTCATATTAATTCATCGTTTATCTGCGCTTTCATACGCTGTAGCAAACGCAGCAAAACGTATTACTGTAATATCAGCGTCATTACTTACTTTACGTAATCCGGTAACTCCGGCCAATATTTTTGGCATGTTTTTATCCATATTTGGTGTTTTTCTCTATAATCGGGTAAATATTTAACATGTATTTATCATTAATTTAAGTAAAATAATATAAGATGATTAAGAAAAGAAAAAAATTAATTTGCATAAAATGTTTTCAAATCTATCTATTAAACAAATTTCATACTGATGAATAAAGTTTTTTCCATTTTAATTCAATACTCATATTCGTAAAAATTTTTGAAATTATTCAAGATGAATAAAGTTGATATTAATTATTAATTTTAGGCTAAACAACGCGAAAAAGAATATCGTGTTTTACCGAAATCACAAACAGATTTAACAATATCTGATACTTCATCGGTTTTCCTGAATGGTTCAGTGATCTATAATGACGGATTTACTGGACAGCTATCATCAGTTGATTTCATTCAAATGATTTGCTGGTTTCCGAAATTTTTCCTTCGTTGGGCAGTTGTTGCTATTTTTATTGCCATTTTAATTTGTTTATTTGCAGGACATTCAGATATCCGGTAAATTTTGATTAATTCTATGACATTCAGATATCCGGTAAATTTTGATTAATTCTATGACATTCAGATATCCGGTAATTCTAATAAGCTTCTGTGACATTAAAATGACAACTGCACTTCTCAATACAACTAAGAGCATTTACATTTTTATTTGTTTGTATTGAAATGCACTGTTATTCACTTCAAACATTCATTCCCAATGTCAGTCAGAATATTGTTAAGGTTATATTTATCATATCAATGTGATAAGTTTTTATTTTTTTCTAATTTTTATTTTATTTTTCTTTTTCATTTTGATTTTAGTTTATTCAAAATGCAGCATGATGACAAAACCAATTTCTATTTGAGCGCTTTATTAATATTTATATCAAATTTGCATTAGTATTAAATGATGACCCATTTATATGTCAAAAGTTGTTCGCATCATTTTTTATTTTTTTTTTGTAGTATGTATGGATGGAACTTTTTTTAGATATGTAATATTAAATTATGATTTTCATTTTAAAATTGTGTATTTTATGATACTGAATCTTAATTAGGTTTTATTATATCATTTTGTATTGTTGCTGTTTTTTTTTATGATTTATTTAGTATGTTTAAAATTTTTATTGTTGATTTAAATTGTTATTTTTATATAATTTAATTACCCGAATAACTTATATTGTTATTTTCATATCATTTAATTACCCGAATAACTTATATTGAATAACTTGACAAATTGATATTTAGAAAGTAATCATAATAGAATGTTTATTTATCATTTCCAAAAAAAAAAAAAGAAGAAATTATACTAGCTGTTAAAAATTATTCCATTTATCATCTGATATTGAACATTTCATATATAATTTACCTTTGTCCCATTGCATTTCTAACTAATTTAAAAAAAGTCTTTCGTAAACAATTCGTTGTGATAATTTGAAAACTACCTGTGACATAGTTGTACTAATAATTCCAACTTTTTTTTTTTCTGAATTCCATTATTTATTCTTTCACTTACATATTATAAATGATTTTGTATATTTTTTTTTTGCATAATTTAAAAAGCATTTTTTTATGCTTTTAAAAAGGAAAAGTTTCTTTCTTTCTTTTTTTTTCTTTTATTTATATGCTCAATTTTATTGATTTCTAATACGTTTACTTCTAATATATTATATTATTCACTTCGTAAAAGTGCTATTCAATTTTTTCCTTTTTTCTTTTTATTATCTTTTCCAAAAACATTCATTGTTTAATTTTTGATATAATTAAATATAAATTATTATATGATATAAAAGGGAAAATATTGATATAAAAAATTATTATATAATATTATATGATGGCAATTATTTTCTATCATATATTAATTATCTCTCCTTTTTTTTTTCAAAATTTGTAAAATTTCCTTTTTTAAAATTAAAATTTGTTTGGGAATAAATTTGATTATATTGTTGTGGTTATGCATATTTCTATTTTCAAATGATAATAAATTAGTGAAAATTTTTGATACATTGAAACCGTTGTATTATTATCTTCAAAAATTACTCATATACTCTTTTAAATTCTTAGATAAATTGGAATTTTAATCTTGAATTAACTTACAAAATTTGATTAACTTACAGAGATTAACTTATTAATTAGCCAAACTAAATAACTCCTAGAAGTATCAATTTCTAAAGCATTTCACAAAAATATCTGACAGTTTAAGCATAGTATTTAAATGAAGTTAATTGTTAATTTCACATGTATTTGAAGAAAAAAATGAAAAAATTTCAAAATCAACATTAACTACTAAGATAGCTATATCAAATATAATTAGATAATAAATTCTCTCTTATAATACTTATAAAATTTAAAGAAAAGAAAAAAAATATTTTACCAATAAATTCTAAATTTATCTTACTTATTGTACTATAAGACTGTAACCGAATAAATTTTAGCCTAAAAAATTTAGTTAAATATATAGCAAAAAAAAGTGGTAAATACAAAATAAAAAATAGTATAAAGAAAACCAAGAAATAATTTACTAATTAGCTAAATTTAAGATTTAATTTGAATTAAAATTTGATAATTTGCTAATAATAAACAAGCATATATCATTCATATTTTTATCACATTGCAATTTTTTATCAGTAAAGAGAGAAATGTTATCTTAGAAATCTGAAAAATATTTTACAGTAATTTCTTTCAATTCATAAATTTAAATGTAAAATTGATTATTTCAATGAATGCTTTACATTAAGTAAAATTAATGAACAAATCGAGCAGACTTATCGAATGGAAAATCGAAACAATATAATTCTTTTTTTCGTTTAAAATTACAAAGATAAGAAAGGAATTTTTTGAGATACATTTTCTTTTTTCTTTTTCTATTAAATATTTTTCTAACTTTTCCATTAAAGTAAGTTCTATGATTAATTCTAAATTTTAATACATTATGGAGTTTATCATATAATTTTTCAATTCCTATAAAAAATATCATCTACTAAAGTACTAACCTTCAAAAAAAAGAGAACGAAAAAAAAAATCTAACTTTTAACTTATTTTTTTTTTCAAAATCAAAGCTTTTATAGTCTGAAAAATTTTTTTTTTTTTTGAAAAAGGATATTATTTTAGAGAAAATAAATTTTACAAATCAGTGAAAAAATCAGAAAAAGAAGTTAGTCATAAATAATGAATAAAAATGTCGTTTTTTCTTTCTCTTTTTTTTTTCAATTATTTATTCGAAATGAAAATTTTTTATTTTTATTTTTTTTAAAGCAAAATAAAATACAATTTCGAATTTATATTTTTTCTTTTTGTAAAAACTAATGTATTTTCTAAGAAATGAAAATGCAACTTCTAGCAAAATACAACGCTATTAGCGTTTTAATCATTTCTTCTTAAATAATAATAATAATAATAATAATAATAATAATAATAATAATAATAATAATAATAATAATAATAATAATAGTAGTAATAATAATAATAATAGTAATAATAATAATAATAATAATAATAATAATAATAATAATAATAATAATAATAATAATAATAATAATAATAATAATAATAACAATAATAACAATAATAGTAATAATAATAGCAACAATAATAATAATAACAATAATAATAATAATAGCTAAGTGATAATATCATTATTAAATATTAAATCGGAATAAGAAATTAGTGATAACAAATAATTATTTTCATTCCAGTTTTAAGCTAACTAACTTTTATCAGACATAAATAATATCTCTCCATGGATTATCATCAATAATGACCACTAGATTTGACCAATGATATTATAATCTTATCTATTGTTTACACTTTATAAAACTAACATTATAGTTGAATAAAATAAAATAAAAAAAATGCATTTTTGAAAAATTTACAGTTTTTCGTCTTTTAATCAATGAAATATCAATTTGTTTGCTTGGAAAAGATAAGAAAAAAATAAACTAAATATATATATATACATACAACTTTAACTTTTACATATAACTTTACTTAATAAACTAAAAATATACATAAAACTTTAACTTTTACATATAACTTTACTTAATAAACTAAAAATATACATATAACTTTAACTTTTACATATAACTTTACTTAATAAACTAAAAATATACATACAACGTTAACTTTTACATATGACTTTACTTAATAAACTAACAAATTGAAATAATAATGCTATGATTGATAAAAAACCAATGATATATTTAATATTTCAAAATTGTTTAAATATATTACATTCTAGGAACTTTTTTTTAAGCCTCAACAATACCCAAATAAAATATAGAGTAAAAAAAATTATGAGGAAATAAAAAAAAAAGAAAAAAAGAAAGAAAAAACATATAAATTGAATAAAATTAAATTAGAATTAAAAATTCATTAAATAACATTTAATATTTTTCTTATAATTATAACAAAAAGATAAAAAAGAAAAAGAAAAGAAAAGGAAAATAAACGAAAAGAAAAGAAAAATGAAAAAATGCAACGCGTAAGATTGCAATCAAAAATTTTTTTAAACAGTATAAAAGATCAAACAAACTTTGAAAATTTTCAAATGAAATTTTTTGAAAACTAAAAATTTTTATTTTATCTATTTTCTTTCTCAGTTTTTATACTAATTGAAAAAGTAAAAATGTAACATTAATGTCATTTTCTTCATCGAAAATAATAATATTACAATGTGTTTTTTGATAATGAAATGAGAAATATTTCAGATTGAATGAATTAACTGATAATATAAAACAAAATGAGTAATTTTATCATTTTTGTTATCAGTCATTTTAAACTTTTATCTCCAACTATAAAATTAACTATTTTGAAACAAAAAGATTAAAAGTTTCTCTCTAGCACTGCATAAATAATGAGATAAGAAGAATCATTTTATACTGTAAAAATATACGTTAAAATTTTCAAACGTACGTGTACGTTTGAAAATTGTAACATTTTTTATACATAACAATGAATCATATTGCTTGGATATTATTTATTTTATTGAAGAGAATGAAACAAAAATTAAAAGATTTATGTAATAATTCAATTAATATTGGTTACTTTCAAATTCAATACTTTCTCAATTTCAGTATAAAATTTATGATAATTCTTTTGTTTATAAGTTTTCTCAATATTAACTTAATTGTAATGAAAATTAAATTCCTACTTACATTCTTTAATTTTGCTATGAAATGAAACTTTTCATTTTAGGAAAGATAAAAGTATTGAAAAAAAATGGTAAGTAATATCTTATTTTACTGTAAATCAGAAAAAGAAATTGATTCGGGAAATATTGTTAATTCGGGGAATTAATTCGGGAAATACTATCACATGTAACACAACAAGCAAAAGTAATTTTCAATTTTCAGATTTTTATTTTCTCACTGCTATTTTCTTTTTCGAAATCATTCAAATCAATAATATTTTTCAATAGTTAAACGATTAATTATTAAATTATGAATGTAAAAAAATAAAAATACAATAAAAAAGAAGTTAAGGAATTATATTAAAATTTGTAAAAATTCAATTAAATATGAAGTA